CACCTTTGAGGTAGGCCAGAAAGTTTGTTTCTTTATTCATATATAGAGAGAGATAAATATAGATATACATATATATTTTGTTTAGTAGAGACAGGGTCTCACTCTTGCTGAGGCTGGTCTTGAACTCCTGAGCTCAAGCAATCCTCCTGCCTCAGAGTCCGAGAGTGCTAGGATTACAGGTGTAAGCCACCTCATCTAGCCATCAGAAAGTTTGATTCTCGGCTTATGCCTGTAATCCTAGCACTTTGGGAGTCGGATGTGGGAGGATCGCTTGGGGCCAGGAGTTGAAGGCCAGCCTGAATAGGAGTGAGACCCACATCTCTACAAAAAATAGAAAAACTAGCTGGGCATGGTGGTGCACACCTGTAGTCCCAGGTACTGAGACAAGAGGATTGCTTGAGCCCAGGAGTTTGAGGTTGCAGTGAGCTGTAATGATGCCACTGCACTCTAGTCTGGGCAACAGAGTGAGACCCTGTCTCTTAAAAAAAAAGAAAAGAAAAAGTTCAATTCTCAAACTTTCTCCTGAATCACAATCACCAGGGGACTTATAAAAGCACTGCTTGATGGGCCCTAGTCCCTGAGTTTCTGATTTTATAGGTCTGGAGCATCACCTAAGAATCGACATTTCTAAGTTCTCAGATGATACTGATGCTGGACTGGGGGTCACGCTTTGAGAACTGTTGACCTAGAAACTCACTTCCTTCTAACCCCAACCTCTGTATTTGGGGTGTTTTAAAGCCTCCTAGGCCCTAGGAATGATTTTCCACAAGGATCACAGACCCTATCTTTAGTGGAGGGATTCCAGTTCTCAACAGGAATTTCTCTGTGCACTTGGTACTGGAATTTTCTCTTTTAGCTAGCCTAGGGACAGAGTTCAGAGTTTCTAGGCCATATGGTTTTAAAAATATAGCTCTCCCCATTATGAAAAATGATGCATTTTAAAATAAATCTTTTATTTTGGGATAATTTTAGATTTATACAGAAGTTGAAAAGAGGGTAAAGTTTCTATATATCTCTCACCCAGTTTCCCTTAATGTTAACTTCTCACATTACCACGGCACATTTCTCAAAATGAAGATACCAACACTGGCACAATGCTATTAACTAAACTCTAAACCTTATTTGAATTTCACCAGTATTTCCACTAATGCCCTTTTTCTGTCCCAGGATCCCAACCAGGATATCACATTTAGTTGTGATGTCTCTGTCTCCTCTGGTCTGTGACAATTTCTTGTTTCTTTATTTTTCATGACCTTGACAATTTTGAACAACACTGGCAAGGCATTTTGTAGAATGTCACTTAATTTGGGTTCATTTGATGTTTTCCTTGTGATTAGTCTGGGGTTATAGGTTTGGGGGAAGAATACTACAGAGTTACAGTGTCCTTCTCACCACATAATATCAACGACACAACATGAATTAGCACTGATAATGTTGACCTGGATCACTTAGTCGAGGTAGGGTTTACAAGGTTTCTCAACTGCAAAATTATTACTTTTTCCTTTCTATACTCAACTCTTAGGACACTAAAAGTTAGGACACCAGCCCTAATTCCAGCCCATACACAAGGTGGAGGGCGGGTGAGGTTGGGAAGAGGGGGGAGGTTAAGCTCCACCTTGGGTGGGGAAGTATCTACACATATTGCTTGGAATTCTACAAGGAAGATTTGTCTCTCTCCCTATTTATTTATTTATTCAATTGTTCATATCAGCCTGGGATCATGTATGTTTATTTTATAATTTAGGTTATAATCTAATACTCGATTATTTATTTTGTTGCTCAAATTGTTCTAGTTTTGGTCATTAGGAGCTCTTTCAGGTTGGCTCCTGTGTCTCTTTGACACGTTCCCTATCCTTTTGTTTTTTGAGCACTTTCTTTTTCTTTTTTTAAAATAGAGATGAGGTCTTGCTCTTCCTTAGGCTGGTCTCGAACTCCTGAGCTCAAGCAATCCTCCTGCCTTGGACTCCCAAAGTGCTAGGATTATAAGCATGAGCCACCATGCCTAGCCTACACTTTCTTACTTTATAACAATACAAGATGCTCAAACCTCATCTGGTATATTCCTTGCCCCTGTCCTAGAATCAGACAAGGAGCCCTGGTTTCTTTCTATTGGAGAGTGGTATTAGAAACCAAGATCTGAGTGCTGAACGTGCTCACTTCTACTGGAATACTATTTTGTTTGTTTTTATAAACAATTCAAACAGGAAAAGTTTAAAGAATTAAGTAGATTGGCCTCTAAGTTCTATCATCAAGCAATGAGGAAACTTAACATTTGTGTCCTTTCAGACATCTCTCTAGGTAGCTGACACCTGTCTATCTTTGTCAGCCAGATGGTTAACTGTCCACATTATTTTATCATGCCATACACATTCTTCTGTAACCTGCTTTATAAACTCAGTATGTCATGGGCATCTTCCCATATGTGTAAATGATGCTCTACTTCTTTAATTTTAATGGCTGCATTTTTTCCATTTCATGGTATATCATAATTTATTTCACCAGTCCCTATTGATGGACAGTTAGGACCTTAGGACTATTAGGAAACAACCTTCGTTTTATATTTTTCTGCACTCTGCCAATGATGGCCTTGGAATAAATTATTAGATCAAAAGGTTTGACATGCTTACCTTTTTTGTGTGCCATTTTTGTAAACATACATTTTAAAACTTTTAAAATATTAAAAAATGTGATGGGCCGGGCGCGGTGGCTCACGCCTGTAATCCTAGCTCTCTGGGAGGCCGAGGC